AACAGCGCGACCAATGTTCCTCCGGCGTCGAAGTTGATAAATTAATAACGACGAACCGATAGGAGTGGGCAAGGGGGCGCAGAGTGGGGAAAAGGGTGGACTCGCGCGTTGGCCGGGTCGAAGTGCAAAAAAAAAATGTTCGATGTCGAAACGAAACTGGAGAACGTGAAAAATGCAGAGCGTCGCGCGTGTATCAACGGCCGTCCAATAAATTTTCTTCCCCTCCCCCCACCCCTCGAAGTTCGTCGAACCCTGTATTTTGTTCAAATTTCATGAGGAAAACGCGCGGCACTACCCCCGCGCCCAGAAAATTTAACGATTCCAGTCTCGAGGAGCGAGAGCACTCGCAATCGCCCTCGCTGTGTCGAATATAAAGCATCGTCCGAGGACGAGCGAAGCTCGCAGGGGACGTGATTTCTCTCGTGATTGTTCCCAAGCGAAATATAGATCGCGTTTTAAATTTCCGTTTGACCGCTCGTTGCGTTCGTTGCTTCGTCAAAGAGAGACACAATAGACCATCGCAGGTGAAATCCAAGGGACGAGACTTTCCACAAGTGTCTTCTAAATAAAACCGAGCGTTAATTGCGCTTCAATTTGACTGCCATTTGACTTGAATAAGCCAAACCACCTTTCCACGCGTCTTACGTGACACTCGCGAATCCACGCGAATCCATCTTACGTGGCACGCGTGATTTATCCGGCTTTCTGCAATTCAAACCATCGAGAGTCAAATTCAACGAGTCGATGCTGAGCCACGGGATCGGGATCCTGCAGCCGCCTTTGGAACGTGTAACACGAGAGCAGCGTTAAGCTCTCTCGCTGTGAATTAACCGAGGCCGAGCCTCTCCCTCGCTCTTTCTGTCTGCGGGAGACGGAGGACGACAGCGGCGCGAAAAGATCCACTTAGCGTTCACTTTGGCCGACATTAAATTCTAATGAACCGGACGCCGGTCAATTTCAGTTAGCCGTCTTCCGGTAGATCGTGATATTCCGATCCGACTACGGTGGCAAGCGTCCGCCATAATGGCGCTGGATACATGCCGACGACCGGCTGCGGTCACCCTTTCGCAAATGTCTAATAATTTTCGTTTAAACGCGGTGCAAGCCCCGGCTCTTACGTGCAGCTGCTCTCCTGCGACGAAAGCCAAGCGCATTAGCCTGCTAATAGACGAAATGGCGATCGTAGCCGACGTACAAAGAGAGAGAGAGAGAAGAGGAAGAAGAGGAAGAGAGAAAGAGCTTAGATTTTCAAGGATCGTTCGTTACAGGTGGGATTTTCTACGAGCATCAGATGCATTCACATCGATAGATAAACGGATAGAAGCATATCGCTGTTTTGTCTTTATGGGATTTTCAAACGTAAAAATAAATTAATCGTCTGTTAGTTTGAATATAGATTAAATTAGTTAAATAAAATAACCCAGAGGAAATAAATCCATGACTAATCATTATATAATATCTTTCGTATAATCTTAATTTTATTATTAATAATATTCTTATTAATATAATTCCTATATGAACAATGGAAGAAATTGCAATAATCAATTTTATATCTATTTCACATATACGTTTAATTCTCAAAAATATTATACTAAATAAATTAATTACTATAAAATAAATATAAATTTTATCATATATATAATTCATAAAATTCCGTAATTTCCTAATTTTAATAAAACAGAAGCTAAAATTATTGATCTAAAAAATGAAGCTTCAACATGAGCTTAACTAAAGAGGATATAATAAAATAAATAAATTTAAAATTATTAATATACAGAATATTTATTATTTCCAAAATATAAAAATTTATTGTATTAAATAGACTTAATAGATTAAATAGTAAATATAATAGAGGTCATGAAAAAATTAAAGTATAGAATATTAAATAGAATGAAGAATTAAATCGTATTGTAAATTAGATCGAAATTGAGTTTTTCAAGTTAAACGGCAAAGCTTATTTTGGAACGAACATTGCGAAACGATTTTCAAGTAACGTGGTCCGTGGAACAAAAAACAAACACAGGTAGGACAAACACGATCTCAGATTGAGAATCATGGATTTAGAAAGCGTGGGTGAAGAACAAGCAAAGAAATAAATCTCCTTTACCTGAAAGGAAACACGAATGGTCGCGTAAAAAGCGGCAGACTCGTAACCCCGTAGCCACGGCTGCGTGCGTTTTCGTTCCCGTGATTCATGCGTCTCGTGACGGGACTAGGCTGGTGTGTGACCGCGCCATGGGGTTACGGACGTACTCCGTAATGGTCTCCGGTAATGCGAAAAAGAAAGAAAGGTTTGCGAGCGTGGGCAAAAATTCCAGCGGCCACAGATTCCTGGAAATAAATCAGCGAACGTAGAACACAACGGATACAGAAACTGGACTTTGATTCTCGTTTTATTAGCCGAAAATGTTCTCTCTTGTCCGTGATTTCTCTTCTGGCATCCTCGTTCATTTCTGACGTCTCACTTTCGCTTCGTACCCATTAAGTTTTCCCATTGCTATTTTTTTCTCCCTTTTTAAAAAGATTCGCAGTTTGGTCCTGTGCGCCATCGACGTTAAACAAAATC